GGGGGCGCCGGGGTGCGGGAGCCTTTGTTCTGCCGTAGAGGAAATGACGGCAGGGTGCAGCCGGCTTCCCCGGGCGCGGCCTCTCCTCCCGGCTCTGCCGCACCTGCCCTGCCCTGCCCTGGGGCTGGGGTGCCCAGTCACACCCTCTCCCTGGCCTCTCTTCTGGCTCTATGCCCAACCCCCAATCTCCCGTCACTCCTCTCCCTCATTCTGGCCCAGAAAGTGTCACACAAGGCCCCAGCACAGCTGGCGCTACCGTCCTGCGGGTCCTGCACCCACCGATCCAACCAACTCCACGTGGAAAGTGTTTAAAAACAAACAATGCCACAATAAAAAGTAGTGCAAATGTTAAATAACAAGGAGTTCCACGTTTGCATCGTGCTAAGTGTCGCAGGTTATCCACAGACAGGACTTAGGATGGGAGGTTATATGCAAATACGTAATACGGAAGACGCTTTAGCATCCTGGATTTCCATCCTGGATTTCTGTATCTGCTGGGGCCCCGGAGCTGGCGCCATGGATGGAGGGGACTGTCATACCTGGGAGTGGACCCCAGTGGGGGACGGGCTGGCGTGCTGCTCTGCCCCCACCCCATCTGGGCCCTGCTCCCCTCCAGCAGAGAGTCCACTTACAGGCAGCCTGGGCCACATCGCAGCTCCCACAGAGTTCTCGCGATGCCAGTGCGTCTACTGCTAGCGGGCGCCCGGTTGGGCAGGAGAGCACCTGGGCCAACCCTGTCCTCTATGTCCCTAGGGACTTGGGGTCTGTCTGCCGCACCAGGCTGTGGCCAACTTCCTGAGTCCTCGTCTTCCTTGGTAAGTCCCACAGCAATCCCTGTCTCTCCCCCCTGCCCTGGACACATTACCGGTGTTGGCGGCCAGGCAGCCAGGCGGCCAGGGTGACAGTGCAGGGGGCTGCCCTTGCAGCTGACAAAGAGCCGGAGCAGAGCGCTGCAGTGACTGGGTACAGCAAGGAGCTCCCTGGCGGCCAGAGCCGGGCTGTGCTGACTGGCTAGGGCTGAGTACTGACGCCGCCATGCAGAAGCCCCGTGCCCTCTCTGCCCCTCGCTTCTCACCTATAAACGGGGGACTATAACTGCTCTATCCCAGGGTGCTCTGAGATCAGGTAAGTTCTAACACGTGAAATGCTTAAAACATGCAACCCATGGAGAGTGTTGGCAGTTATTCCTGTCTACCCCAGAACTGAGGAACTTCGGTGGCTTTTTTTTTTTTAATTTTTTGGAGAAGTTTCTGCTACAGGGCACATGCACTCACTAGAAAGACACAGAGAGACAGAGAAACAGAAGGCGAGAAATCACCCCCCAGGGGGGTGGCCACACCGCAATCCCTTCTCCTCCATTCTCCTCTCGGGATCTTGGGCACGCACGCACACATGCCCAGTGTGAGTTTAAGCCACCGGGTCTAGGATTTGAACTGCGGTCAATGACATGGGAGTCCAGCAACATAGCCATTACGCCAACTCTGACAGAGAGGGCAAGACACACTGACGAATAGAGAGGAAAGAGCCCCTCCCACGGCGCATGATCACGCCCAATCCCTTCTTCTCCATCTCTCCTTCCTTTCAGGATTCTGGGCTCACGTGCGCATGAGCATGCATGTGACCCAAAAGGTCCCAATGCCGCCGGGTCCAGGACTTGAACTGCATACTTGGCCATGGGGGATCCAGTGCCTTAACCACCACGCCATGGACTGGCCCCTTGGGTGGCTTTTCTTTGTGACCATGGATCATGAAAGGCCCAACAGAGGTCCCGGTGCTCACCACCTTAACAAGGACACTGCACTGACCCGTGCTGCCCACCCAGCACCAAGGCCGCTCCCGCCACACACACAGCCCACGCCCACTGCTGCCTTTCGTGCCCTTCCGCACCCGCCCACCTCTCTGCCTCCCAGAGGCCACCGGCCTTCCAGGTCCACCCTGCACACCCCTCTGGGAGGCCTCCCTGCTACTCGCCGATGATCCCCAGAGGGCCCAGAGGAGAACGGACGGCTGACACACCTGGTGTGCTGCAGACGGCCTGAGTTCCTCTCCCTAGGCTGACTGCCAACTTCCAGGGAAAGCATTGCTCCTGGAGAGCCTGTCTGTTCTGTGCAGGGGCTTCGGTGAGCACAGTGCAGGGGGTCCCCCCCCCCCCCGCCCCCGCGACAACCCAAGGCAGGCCCATCACAGTTGAGGGAACAGGCTGGGTTGAAAACATGTCCAGAGAGCCAGTCACGGGCACACCCTGCTGATGCTGCACTGCACAGGCTGGGCCCGAGTCCTGGTCCAGCATAAAGGCTGGGCATGGGGCATGACCTGTCATCCCAGAACTTGGGGAGGCTCAGACAGGAGGACAACACCCTGCCTTAAAACAAAACTGGGCCACCAGCAGATGGCAAAATGGTTACATTGCTGGACTCCCACATAGTTGACCGCAGTTGGATTCCCGGACCCGGCGACTTAAAACTCACACCAGGTGTGTGTGCGTGCACAGATCCCGAGAGAAGAATAGATTAGAAGGGATTGTGGTGTGGCCATCCCCCCGGGGGGTGATTTCTCACTTCCTGACTCTGTCTCTCCAGCAAGAGCACCTGCCCTATAACAAAAATATCTCTTAAAAAAGAGGGGGACACCAGTGGTGTGGTTGGGGGTGGCTGGATTTCACATGACCGACTGTGCGTTTTGAGTCCCACACTCAGTGGCTTGAAAAAACACTCCAGGCACATGTGTGCACACGCCCAAAATCCTGAGAGAGAATGGAGGACAGACACTGCAGTGTGGCCGCCCCCGGGGTGCTTTCTCGCTTCTCCCCTCTTTGTTTCTCTTTCTCTGTGTCTCTCTCTGTTGAGTGCACATGCCCTATAACAATAAAAAAGAAAGAAAGAAAACAAAGAAAACAGCCATGCAGGGGTGTGGAGCTGCAGGTGACTGTCAGCACAGGTGGGCTCACAGCCTGCTTCGCTCTGCGCAGTGAGAGCCAAGCGGCCAGGTTGCTCAGGGCCTTCTGTAATTCTAGGGCCATGGCAGATCCAAGCCAAGACCTTGGCCATCAGAGTCTCACTAGTGCTCGGGGCCACGGAAGGGCTCCCTCCTCGGCTTCGCTGTTCTCTTGCTTTGTATATTATTATTATTGGCAGTATTTGCTGGAGAGTGCACGTGCTTGCCAGAGACGGGGTGGTGAGAACCCACCATGGGGGAGGGTCATGCTGAGATCCCTTCTCCATCGCTCCCTCCTTTTGGGATTTTGGGCACACATACACTTTCCAAGCCACCAGACCCAGGACCTGGCCACGCAGTCTGCCACTTGGGGTCCAGCTGCCTCAAGCACTGCGGCTGGCGGCCCTCCTCTGCCTTCTCAGAGTCCACATTGTGATCCTTTCAACAGGTGCCCGAAGGCCAGAGTAAACCCTGCTACGCAGTGGGAAGGCTGCCGGCTCCTCTCGCTCCTCAGAGACCTTTCCCCGAGGACAGCGGCTGCCGGACGGTGCTCCACGCAGCTGAGCCCTGGAGATGAACGCCTGTCCCCCACCTGCCAGACCCCAGACGTGCACTGTTTCATCTGATCACTAACTAACCCGGACTTGCCGAGCACCTGTTCTGCGGCAACACAGAGCAACCTCCGTGGTAAGTCCTGAACGGGTCAGAAGGGCCAGTCAAGGGGCCAGTGGTGCCGTGATGCCCCGTGGCCTCCTGACCAGGGATTACAGATGGGGAGGGCCTGGCCAGACAGGCAGGGAACCCATGAGACTGAGGCTAAGGGGCACTCAAGGCAGCAGGGGGCCAGCCCAGAGGAAGAGGCTGTGGCCATGCCCACAGCCACGCCCACGGTCGCACCCGGGCAGAAGGCTGGCTTTGGAAGCAAGAACCTGTTCCCTGAGAGCAGAGGACAGGGACAGAAGTTGGGCAACTGCAGTCCAGGGGTGCTTGGAGGGAACCAATCGGGGGCTTCTACTTCCCCAGGAGAAGGGAGAGGTCATGCGCATTGTAGGACTGAAGGGAGCAGAGAAGGGGGCCAGCAGGTGGCCTGGAGGTTAATGTGCTGGACCCCTCATGGCTGCCCGCGGTTCATGTCCCAGACTTGGCGGGTTGAAAAATCACACCAGGCGCGTGTGAGTGCATGTGTGCCGAAGATCCCAGAAGAAGGGAATTTGGTGTGGCCATCCCCTCTGGGGTGATTTCTCGCTTTTCCTCTCTCTCCCTCTCTGTCTCTGTCTCTCTGCAAGCACATCCACCCTATGGCAGAACCCAAGAAGAGTAGGGACGGTTCAGAGGGGCTGACCCAGGGAGAGCGGGCGGCTCTAGAGTGTCTAGGAGCTCAGGCCGGGCCTCCCCACACCAGAGCGGCCAGGAAGAATGAGGCGATGGCTGTCTGGGAGAGTGGAGCCTGCCCAGGCGAGGAGTCCGGGGTCCCCGGGGTCCAAGCTGAGAGTCACAGGACGGTGTGGCCACGCACATCCACGCTCACAATGCAGACACCGCCACGGTACTTGATTCGCAGTAAGGAGAGTCACGGTAACGTCGCCAGCTGCTGGCTATGGGGTGTCTACATCGTGGTGGGCACCCGGATGGGCACTGCATTCTTTTCTTCTTCTTCTTTTTTTTTTTACTTATTTTTATTTATTTATTTTTATTATTTTTTTGAGAGGTTTTTACTATAGGGTGTACGTACTCACCAGAAAGACAGAGAAAGACAGAGAGACAGAAAGCCATTAATCATCCCCCAGGGGGGATGGCCACGCCGCAATCCCTTCTCCTCCATTCTCCTCTCGGGATCTTGGGCACGCACACACACAGGCCCAGCGTGAGTTTAAGCCACCGGGTCCGGAACTCGAATCACAGTCGACTACACGGGAGTCCAACAACATAGCCATTACGCTAATTGCTGGTCCCTACTTATTTTTATTTTATTCTATTTTTGTTTTAATTTTGTTATAGGATACTTATGCTCATCAGAGAGAGATGGGGGTTAAGGGAGTGAGAAATCACCCCCCATGGGAGATGGCCATGCCTTCCAAAGCCATTAATGGCTTCCACCCAGGAAGACTGTGTGAGTCTCCGGCCTCTGGCCCGCGCCTGTTCTGTCCCCTTCTTAGCCAATGTTGTCCACAATCCTGTGCAGGCCATGCGACTGGGCCTTGCCTCCAGCTCTTGGCTCCTTAGTGGTAAATTACTTAGCGTTTTTCTTTTTTTTTAATCATCAGAGGTTGCCTCTGCTTGCCAGAGAGAGAGATGGAGAAAGGGGGAAGCCCTCCCCCAAATGGGGTGTAGTCATGCTGGAGTCCTGTCCCCATTCTTCCATCTTGTCAGGATTTGGGTCGCACTTGCACATGCACCTGGCGTGTTTTTCAAACTTAGGGCCAGGATCCAAACCACAGTCAGTCCCTTAGCCCTTAGATGCAGGGCTGCTACCCCCGGAAGTGTTAGAACATTCTGTCTCACCCCTCCGCAGGCATTTGCATGCTCACTGGGGCTAACTTGAGGACCTAGGCTCTTACTGGAGAAATTTTAGGCTGTCAGAAGGCCACTGGGTGGAGTGTGAGAGGGAGTGTGTGTACGTGTATGTGTGTGTGCGCGTGCATGTGAGTGTGTGTGTGAAGACAGTTTCCCGGCTTCTCTCAAATGACATGCTGCCCACTCCACCCACGGTAGCCCCTCCCCCGGAGGAAATTTCGGGCTCCGCACAAGGTCTCAGCCCCAGCGCCTCCTCCCCCACCGGCACACCCCCCAGCCCTGAGCAGAGACCAGACCAAAAGGGCAGGCTGCAGCAGGAAGGGGAGGAAGGAGGGAAGGGAAGGTGGGGGCAAGGCCAGCCCAGGTGGCGGAAGGGCCCTCAGGCTGCCCGGGCTGGGCTGTGGTCCGCTGGTCGGAGCCCAGGCCTTCTCTCCCTGCCGTCTCAGCCCAGCCCTCCCTGGGCCTTATCTGAGCCCCCAGCCCGGCCCCACCTCTCACCCCACCCTCTGCTCTCCACAGCCACAGCCTCTCAGCTCAGACTAGGTGATAAGACAGCCCACCCCTGGGGCTCTGGTGCCAGGTCTCACAAATCCAGGCGCACTGGACTTTCAGAACTTTCAGAACCGAAGCCTCAGCCGGCCACCTCACAGCGGCGTCCCCTGGCCCTGTCCTAAACTGACACCACCTGCTCTGTGCCAGTCCCTGCGTCAGGAACTTTCACCCATACGAAACTTCGCCCAAACGGAAAACCAAGGCTCAGAGGTTACCTAGCCAGAGGCTCCCAGTGAAGCCAAGTCCCCGTCGAAGGCCGAAGCCAGAGCCCCACTGTAACTGGACAGAGACCCAGGTGGTCCACGCTGCCCTCACCTGCAGGAAAGGAGCTGCAGGCCCGGGCTCGGGCTCTGTGTGCCTGCCCCGTGGGCTCGGGCCAGGCTGAGGCCAGACGTGCAGACTGGCAAGGGATTTAGAAAGGAGGCAGCCGTCCAAGAGGGCTGGGGTCAGGCTGGGCAGAGCACCTGACCCCTTCTCCCCAGTCACCCACAGTGGGACTGTCTTTCCTCCTATCTCCCTGCCTCCCATTCCTCTTCTTTCCTTCCTTCATTTTCTTCTCCCTCCTCTCTCCCCCTCTCCCTCTCCCCCTCCCAGTCCACCCCCACAGTTGCTGTAGCAACAGCGCAATGCCAGAAATACAGGCAAGACCCAGCTAGGCCGCCAGTTCCCAAAACAGCATCCCAGGGTGTGGAGGGGAGGGGAGGAGAGGGGAGGAGAGG